TAGCTCTTTAACAGCCGCAGTTCTGGTGGATATCGGTTCTATCCCGCAGCTGACGTCTCTCACGATGGACACGTACAATTGGACCGTGGATTTCGACTCGATCCGTTGCCACAGCATATTATGCGCACTCACAAGCCTGAAAATCATCTACGTCTCTAAGAGGCCCCAATGCACCATCTGCGATATCCTGCTCTGCATTGGCGCGCCTGCTATGCAATGCATTACAATTGTCCCCTTGCGTAACTGTATACAAGTCGAAGGCCAGGACGGTAGAACGGCTTTTGCTGCCATCGTGGAGTGTATCCGCCTACGCTGGGCCGCGAGCCTCATCCGGCTTGATCTGCACAACGCCAGCGCTTCATGTGACGACCTTTCCGCCCTGCGCAGCCTTAAGCTTTCGAAGCTGCGCAAACTCTCCCTCCGCTCCGTAATCGGCAGCCCCTTGAGCGACGAACGCGTCCTCGCACTTGTGCAAAGCTTCGTGAACCTCCGAACCCTCTCGCTCACTGGCGGCGGCAACGCGGACATCGTGTTCCTGCAGGCGGTCGCGCAGCGCTGCCCCGCGCTGCGCACGTTATACGTGCCCTTCTTCCCCGATGCGCGCCTCCCGGACGTCCCACGCACGCGCGTCCGCGCGCATGGCCTCCGCAAGCTACAATTCGAGCACGCGAACCACGAGTGGGCCAACGTGGATCTGCAGCTGCTGGCGCGACATGTGTACCGTCTGTTCCCGAGGATCACGTCCATCACTGGCACAGGGGGCGGGGATATGGCGAGGATAAAGGAGGTGCAGAACATGGTGCAGATATGCCAGGACGCGCGCAGTATCGAGTGGGAGCAATAGTTGGTGCTGCTTCCCGTGGAACTGGTTTGCGTTCTGCAAAAATATTTCGCCGTCGCTTTTCAATATCTCGTGTATCATGTACAGTTCTATTTTTCGTAACAAGTTTCCTGACTCAACCCAAGGGTATTTGCAAGACCTCACGGCTAACTCCACGCACTGGACTGATTTATACTGCTCAGTGAAGTAAGTTCATCATGACCCCACTGCATATATATCTGATTCGCGTTCGAATAATGGGCCTCGAGAACTGTGCATTCATTTCTTACGTCTAGCCTGTGTACGGAACGCAGTACGTAATTCTGGCGATCAATACCCGATAAAAGCCGTTATATTGCCCTGCATCTGCACGCGAGGCATGTATAGTTTACGGGTTCCTAGCTGGAATCAGAGAGGGACTATAAACGCGGCTTAGGCGTGCGGAAGCAAGGTTTTTTAGTTCATGTTTGTAGCTTTGTGGCCCGCCAAATTACTGACCGAACCAACAGCCGCCCCAAGCTCGGGGTACTCCGCACAGAAGCAGGTTCGCTTTCGTCCTTTTCCGGCGAGAAGTGCAGATTTTGACCGGATTGTGGCAAGTATCCTGATTCAGATGTTCGAATTCTCACTTTTGTCGGACCACGTCATTCTAGTAGTCTCCCTGAGCTTCTATCAACTACGCAATTCTCTGCATATGTTCTTCCGCAGCCTCCCTCGCTTCTGAAAGCGCCTGAATCATCCCGAACGCAAGTACTTGTAGATCTATGGCGCACAACAGGACCCTGAACCCCGCGTCCAGCTGCTGCCGCACCATCTCCGGCCCCACAGCGACGCCGAGGAGCGGGATGCGTGTCGCAGCGGACACCGCACGCGCCTTGTGCACCGTGGCCATGTAGTCGGGCTCTGTCGCTGGGTTCATCGGGAGGCCCAGGTCGAGGCGCAGGTCGGTAGCTGCCGGCGGCGGGGCGCACGTCAAGTCAAGTCAGTGCGGCGGAGATGAAAGACAACGCACCGCCAATCATGAACGCGGCAATGTTGCCGACCTGCAAGATCTCCTCGAGGTTCTCGATCCCGCGGCGCGACTCGATCTGCGGAATGATGGCCGTGTGCTTGTTCGCGAGCGAGAAGATGGTCTCGCCTTCCGGGGTGATGTCGGTCACACCAGGGATCTGGCTCGCTATTGAGCGTTATGACAGAAAAACAGAGGGAAACACACGAAGGAGAAGGGTGGGTACGACCGTTGGCCGTCCGGCCTGCAAGTGTGAAGTGAGTTCCGCTGTCGGACTTGTGCTCGGTGCTCACGGGAAGCGGCACGCCGCGACAACCTGCTGCATCTCTGCTGCCGTTTCCATGTGCGGCACAATAATTCCGCCGGCACCGGCGTCCAAACACCACGCCTAATATTGTTAACGGTACGAATGAATTGACGAGAGGCGAGAGGGCCAACCATGTAATCGAACGCGATCTTGTTGGGGACGCGTACGACGGGGATCATCTTGCCGCCGCTCTCGTGGACGATGATCTGGATGCATTCGACCAGCAGCTTCGGGGTCCAGGCGACGTGCTCTGCGTCCTAGAAGGAGCGTATGATCAATGCCGTGTGTGACTTTATACACTACATGCGCTTGGGTAAAAATCTGTACGTACCAGCCAGCACCAGTCTGCGCCCGTCGCAGCAACAGTTTTCGCAACCTGGCGGCTCGGATAGCTGAGGGCCGCTCCGGCGAGGATCTTCCCAGACTTGAAGAGTGCCTGGAGATTGCTCGCCTGCTGCAACGTCGGCGCGCGGTGGGTGCCTTGCATCTGCGACGCGAGGGTGAAGCGGGGGATGGATGCGTCCGCGCCCATTGTTAGCGATGAAAGGGTATCCGTGGAGTGCAAGCCGAAGGGATGGTCACTAGATATACACACTGGCAGATGAGTATCAAATATGTATCAATAGATGTGCACTGGGAATGACGCGAACAGCCAAATACTGCCAGTTTCTGGGAGCGTGCTGGCTGAGTCTGGCTCTCATAAAGCACGGTTGAGCATCCAGTGTGGCATGCTCCAATGGTGGAGCTGATATGATGCTCAAGCTTGTCAAACAGATTGAGCGCTGACAGGCGATTTCGAACTATTTGTCACTGACTGACTGTCATCCAACAATTGCCTAATATGGATTATTGCTCAAACTACAAAAAAGGCGGCCCAGTTCGCATCCAATGTCGGTTGCAGCCGATGCGTGAAGTCCCGCCATTGGCATCCTTTCCCAAATGAACAGGAATCTGGGAAATTGATAGGAAGTTCTTTTGTTGTGCCGTGATTCGTCCGCAGTAAGGTTGGTCCAGTATTTCACCTACCGTTGCGCGTGGGGGTTGGACTGGTGGTCCACGTAGGTCCGGAAGATTGCAGCTTGGACATCAAGGATACTAGTAGCTGTGCCTAGGAAGGTTTTCGCCGCGGCATGGAGTAGCTCAACCTGTTCCGTACTCCCACACCTGTCTAAATTGTATGCAAATTGTTTCGAATCATACATGGGGTTTATATTTTGCACGACCCGACCGAGAATTGTCAGAATTGTAGGACCCAACCTCCCCAAGAAATAATAAGGCGTGTTACCGCGGGTAGGGCCGACACCGCGTGGCGAAAATGCAGTAATTTACTGTTTTTTGTCCTTCTGCAGGTTATAATCACACGTTTGTCCGGAAACAGCGTGGGAACCCTTGCCCTTTTGGAGGTTCTTTATATGCTGCCAGTGTCTCACTCAGCACGCGGCGAAGTTTTGCGATCCCGTCTGCACGATCAAAATCAATGCCGCGCGATCTCAACCATGCCAGTGTTAAGCGGTACCAACTCGATTGTTTTGGCAGGCGATCGCAGTTTCATCCTTCAACCCAAAGGGTAGCGGTATTGTCAGTGACTGGCTGACAGTCACTTGACAATCAGCGTGACATCTGTTAGACCCTAATTTTAATTTAACAGTTATTCAAGATCTCTGGATCTGTCATATCCACCAGCTCGCGTGGCGGCTGTGCCGATTTCCGTGCCGATGACGCATTTTTTTGACGGATGGTTGCTCCCATCGAACATAAAACACTGTTAATACTTACCCAGCAGTGTATGATAGAATGTAGGTGAGTTGTTCTCGTATACCCCAATAAACTAAGCGAAGGCGTACTGTATGCGCGCTCATTCCATTTCTACCCAAATCGTGGATTGTCATTCTCTTTGTTTCGTCGACTGGGACCTTTTCAGCTCATCCCCCGGCCTTTTTGTACCGCGGGTTTGGTTCACCACTGTTGATTTGTAGGTGCCCAGCTGGGATCTAGCGACCCAGGCGAAGCGCGACGCGAGTGTGCGCAGTGATGTTTTGTTGACAGAAAGAGATGCTGTGCGCATTCCCCATCTGGGGGTGGGGGTCTTCGGATCAGTATGGAGATCTGACGCCCCGTGCAGTTATCTGTCTATCGTCCGCATGCCAGCCGCTGGTGCATCCGCCAGCTGTCATGGAAACCCGGATTGCCATGCAGGGGTTTGCAGTTGAGTGAAGTTGGCGGTTAGCTCCTTGTAGGCTTGTAATCACACGCGGGTTGCGAAACACCTTTAAAAGATGTGATGGACCATCGCGCATGTGTGAGCAGTGTTTGAAGGACACGCTCTGCTCTGCCGTTTTGCACGGACGGGTCGTGGACTTGGGTTTATCATGCCTCAATATTGCAAATTAGTTCGTAAACTGGTTTTCGTTTGTGCGGGTCAAATCGAACACTTCGCGCGCCACCAGCAATCAGCGGCATCCTTTCGGACCAAGTTAAAACTATGCATATATGTCTTTCTTCGACGATGATCAACTCCCTCCACGGCTCATCAAATTCCTTTGAGGCGGCAGCAGACCTAACATACTAATTTCTTGGCATCATGTTGTGGTTTTCAATAATATGCCGTCGGGCACTGTCGTTAAATGAGCCAGTCAAAATCCGATGGTCGGCAAGATGTGTCAGCGTGTTGAATAGAAGTGCCAAAAAAAAGTTCCGTTTCTAAACACCCTGTTTACAAACCTGGTGTAAAGCAAAATTTGTGGACACGATTTTTTCCCTACAAGAGATTGTGGAGCGTATGCCCAGGCGGTGCCCCCACCGTGAACTCCCTTAGTCTAAAGTTCTAGTAGTTGACTTCTGATCACCAGTAATTTTAGCTGTATGGGCTGTTAGCGCAGTTGGTAGCGCGTTCGCTTCGCATGATGTCGACAGTATTGATTTGCGAAAGGTCGCCGGTTCAATTCCGGCACAGTCCACTTTCTTTTTACGGTTTCTATTGAACTGTAAAAAAGCCTAATCTTCTCACTGCGGCGTTTCTAGGTCCCAGAAGTTGTGTCAAAAACGGCCAAAATTGCCCTTTATAGCGATTCTTTCCGTTTTTGAACCGATTTTGGACAATTTCTGGCACCTTGAAATTGATGAAAGGCTGCGTTGTCTGTGAGTGGATTTTTCGTTCTCTTTGTTCGAAGATACGAGTGGCGGTGATTGATCGCATCAATACATCCCCCTTGCCTAAGGCCTTAAATGAAACACTGAATTTCGGAGCTCTGATATAAGGCCTGGACTAAGGGCTTAATTAAGACCTTAGGGCCAACACTGCGCATGGGACGAACTTACAACTCGCTGGGTTCCACCATGTCTACCAGTACTCCGACTGCAGTGCCATCCGACCCAGTACAGAAGAAGACACCTCCAAGTCTTTGTGCTCGACCTCTGAATGGGTTGGGACATCATTTTGAGACGTCGGCATGCCAATTTGGAAACTGTCAAGAACTAGCCTAAGGATATCTCGGCATCTCTGATTTTTCCCTGAGGGCAGCAGATGCTAACTATCAACTTGAAGAACCAGTGTGTTAGTGAAAGCTATTTTTGTTAGGAACAGCCTTCGCGCATGGGACGAGCTTCCAACTCTCTGGGTTCCACCATGTCCACCAGTACTCCGACTGCAGTGCCATCCGACCCAGTACAGAAGAAGACACCTCAGGCCTCCAAGTCTTTGTGCTCGACCTCTGACTGGGTTGGGACATCATTGCTGATGGCAAGAGCATTTGCCGCCGGTGGAGAATGTCTGCCTTTTCCTTATGTCAAGGGGGTCTTTGTGGTATTTGTCACCGTTCTTGAGACAGTTGCGGTTGGTATTGGACCTGGTTTGCCATTGGGATTTGGCTCATTCAGTTGCTGCAGAAGATTAAAAAGAACCGGGAGGACCTGAAAGAGTTATGTGGAGATATACTTGACATAATGAAGATTATCCGAGACCAGATATCGGCCCATGGAGCTGCTGCTGCGACAAAGTTCGAAGGACTGTGTGAGGATCTCGAGAGGTGAGTGAGTTTGATTGATCTTTGAGAATTCGGCTCACCAGTGCACCCTAGTTGCTTGAAACATGTGCTAGATGCGGTTCAGCTTTTGCAGAGAGCGCCCCGGGGCATCCGTGAGCGTCTCAAAGAGGTTATCAAATTGCCTAGCATCACAGAAAAGATCAGTGGTTACCGGAATAGGCTTCAAACATTGCATTCAAACTTTGTGGTATGAATGGTCTATCCAACACAATGGTTGACTCAAATAACTCTTAGCTCCTGGCCACAATTGACACCAATTTTCATGTGCAGAAGCTCACAGCTGTGCCATCCAGTAGGATTTCCGGGCACTAAGATGACTGCTGCAACTTACTGCAGTATTTTAATCAATTCGACACATGTTTTGGGGTGTGACATCGATGACGAACCTAAGCTTTCGTCAACCGCGGATCAGCGGTGTGACTGACGAAAAAATTCGTCATTTCTCCCGGTGCCCACCGCCCAAATCCATCTGAAAGTCTTCAAAAAAATTGATGCAACCGAAACCTTTCGACAACCTGCAAGAGGTGCTGTGACTGTCGAAATATTTCGTCATCCGGAGGGGGCTGTGACGCGTGACTGTCGAATTGATTAAAATACTGCAGTATAACATATTTTACAGATATTCCTGTACCTCAAACGACTCAGAGCGTCAACAACTGTCCTCCTCCGTCACGAATCTTTCAGGGGAGACAGACCATTCTTGATAAGATGCATGAATATTTCAGCCAGACATCGGAGAGGCAGCATATTTACCTACTTTACGGGCTTGGCGGAGCTGGAAAGACGCAGATTGCTCTCAAATTTATTGAACAATCATCTTAGTCAGTTCTTGCCTGCTTATATTACAATGGTTAAGCTAACGTTTCTGGGCTGTTAGTTTCTCAAACATTTTTTGGATTGATACCAGTACTCAGGACACAATTGAGTCAGGCCTTAGAAAAATAGCCGTGACTAAAGTAGGAAGCACCTCACAGGACGCTCTGAACTTGCTGGCTGGCAAACAAGATGATTGGCTGCTTTTCTTTGATAATGCAGATGACCCCAAGATAAATCTGAACTCTTTTTTCCCTCAATGCAAACATGGCAACATTCTGATAACATCTCGGAATCCTGGACTTTGTATATATGCCGGGGCTCATGCTCTTATCTCGGATATGGAAGAACCAGATGCTGTTCAATTACTGCTCACAAGTGCTGCCCAAGAGTTCACGACTCATAACAAGAAAATGGCAGTTGAAATTGTCAAGGTAAGCAAAGTTTAACACTTGCTAAAATCAGTACCAATGATCCTTGAGGAGCTGTCGTGTCTACCGCTTCCCATTATCCAGGCCGGTGCATTTATAGCCGAGTCCAGGGCTCTCAACATCTATTTGACACTGTTCAAACAAAATCAAGCCCGACTGCTCAGTAAAAAGCCGACTCAGAGCCATGATGATTATGGTGGCACAGTGTATACCACTTGGCAGATCAGTTTTTCACAGCTCAGTGAACCTGCTGCAATGTTTTTACAACTGTGCTCCTTTCTACATCATCAAGGAATATCTGAAACGATTTTCAGCTATGCTTCTGCATACCAGCCACGACCCAGTGGTCCATGTGAAGAGGAGCTCCGCAGACCAAGGGAATTTTTGTCCAAGTTTCTGGATCATACTGATACCTGGGACTCTTTGCGATTCATGGAAACTACAAATGAGCTTCAAGCTTATTCTTTAATCAACTTTAACATGGAAACTGGATCCTTCTCAGTTCATCCTCTTGTGCACAACTGGTGTCGAAATACAGTGACTGATCAGAAAGTGTACCATGATTCAATGGTTGCTATCGTGGGGATGGCAATTTCAGGAATAGCTGAAGATATGCACCTGGCTAGTCTGTGGCTTTTGCCCCATGTTGATTCATTGATAGAGGGCAAAATACAGCAAACACCAGATTTCAATTCAGAGTATGGAAAGGTTTACTACTTTGCAGGAAGATGGCCTAAGGCAGAGAAGTTTCAAGCTGGTGTCCTTGAGAAGCAAAAAAGACTCCTGGGAGAAGACCATCCAGATACTCTGACGACCATGGGTAATCTAGCAATGACATATGTTAACCTTGGTCAACTGAACAGCGCAGAGAAGCTCGGAGCCGTTGTTCTTGAGAAAGGAAAAAAATTTCTTGGGGAAGACCATCCAGATACTCTGCGTGCCATAAGCATTCTAGCATGGACATATCAACATCTTGGTCAATTAAACAGGGCAGAGGAGCTCGGTGCTATTGTTCTTGAGAAACGAAAAAGAATACTCGGGGAAGACCATCCCGAAACTCTGAGAAACATGGACAAGCTAGCATGGATATATCTAAGCCTTGGTCAGTTAAACAGGGCAGAGGAGCTTGGAGCTGTTGTTCTTGAGAAGCAAAAAAGAATCTTTGGGGAAGACCATCCATACACTCTAGGGTCCATGAACACTTTAGCTGCAACATATGGAACCCTTGGTCAGCTGAACAGGGCAGAAAAACTTGGAGCTGCTGTTCTTGAGAAGGGCAAAAGAATCTTTGGGGAAAATCATCCAGACACTCTGATGTCCATGAGCAATTTAGCAAAGACATACCAGAGCCTCGGTCAGTTGAAAAGGGCAGAAGAGCTTGGAGCTATCGTTCTTGAGAAACAAAAAAGAATTCTTGGGGAAGACCATCCAAGCACTCTGAGGACTATGAACTCTTTAGCTGCAACATATGGAACCCTTGGTCAGCTGAACAGGGCAGAGAAACTTGGGGCTGTTGTACTGGAGAAGTACAAAAGAATCTTTGGGGAAAACCATCTAGGCACTCTGGCGGCCAGCAGCAATTTAGCAAAAATGTACCGGATCTTAGGTCAGCTCAACAAGGCAGAGTCGCTTGCAGCTATTGTTCTTGAGAAACAAAAAAGACTTCTTGGGGAAGACCATCCAGACACTCTGATGACCATGAGCCATTTAGTAGAGGTGTACCAAAGCCTGGGTCAGTTGAACAAGGCAGAGGAGGTTGGAGCTATTGTTCTCGAGAAGCGAAAAAAAATCCTTGGGGAAGACCATCCAAAAACTCTGTTTACCATAAGCAATTTAGCAGGGACATACAAATGCCTTGGTCAGTTAAACAGGGCGGAGGAGCTTGAAGGTGCTGTTTTTGAGAAGCAAAAAAGAATCCTTGGGGAAGACCATCCAGATGTTCTGACAACTATGAGCAATTTAGTAGAGACATACCAGAGTCTCGGTCAGTTGAACAGGGCGGAAGAGTTTGGAGCTGTTGTTCTTGAGAAGCAAAAAAGGACCCTTGGGGAAGACCATCCAGATGTTCTGAAAACTATGGGCCATTTAGGAAAGACATACCAGAGCCTTGGTCAGCTGAAAAGGGCAGAAGAGCTTGGAGCTGTTGTTCTTGAGAAGCAAAAAAGAATCCTTGGGGAAGACCATCCAGATGTTCTGAAAACTATGGGCCATTTAGGAAAGACATACCGGAGCCTTGGTCAGCTGAAAAGGGCAGAAGAGCTTGGAGCTGTTGTTCTTGAGAAGCAAAAAAGAATCCTTGGGGAAGACCATCCAGATGTTCTGACAACTATGAGCAATTTAGTAGAGACACACCAGAGCCTCGGTCAGTTGAACAGGGCGGAAGAGCTTGGAGCTGTTGTTCTTGAGAAGCAAAAAAGAATCCTCAGGGAAGACCATCCAGATATTCTGACAACTATGGGCCATTTAGCAAAGACATACCAGAGCCTTGGTCAGTTGAAAAGGGCAGAAGAACTTGGAGCTTTTGTTCTTGAGAAGCAAAAAAAAATACTTGGGGAAGACCATCCAGATATTCTGACAACTATGGGCCATTTAGCAAAGACATACCAAAGCCTTGGTCAGTTGAAAAGGGCAGAAGAGTTTGGAGCTGTTGTTCTTGAGAAGCAAAAAGAATCCTTGGGGAAGACTATCTAAATTGACTATGAAGTTTCTGCACAATACTTATGAAAGGATAGGCACATTGGACGAGACAAAGTCACCGAATATTCTCAACATTGAGGGAAGTGATGATCAATTTATATTCAGACAGGCATTCTGTATTTAATTCTCACTTTTTGTAGTAAGTAAATACATATTTACTTCGCGTATGGTTAGCGTATTTCCCGGCTGCAGACAAATATACGTACTACGACAACCAGCAGCCCGGGGGTATACACCTCCAGGCCCTCGAAAAGGTCGAGCAGATGTTCGCGCCACTTGGCAGAGAATCCCCGACCCAAGTCAAGCCGCATGCGGGTCAGGCGAGGGAACAACTGGGTCGCATGCGCGATGCGGGAAACGATGATGTGGAGCCTGAGGTGGTGATATGCTAATTTCTGTAGTCAACGATCATCCAAGTGCAGTACTTTCACAGCCAGCCCTCTCTTCAACGCGACAAGATCCTTGGCCTCCATAGTTTTCTCCAAGCCTTTCAGCCAGTCTTGGCCAGTTTGCATAGCTACAAAAGGGTAATCCACCTGTGTCAAAAATAGACAAGATGCTCGACGTCCAGCAAAAAAAAAAACGGACCGAGTACATGATGCGAGACAGGCCAATCTGGTTGCCATGAAATTCCACCAGCTCTGTTGCGAAATTTCCGGAAGTCGTCTCGAGTAGATTAGTTTTCCAATATGAGGAAGCGTTCCTGAGCATTGGCATTCCCTGCGGGAGTTGCCGCGCTAATTCTAGTCAAAAGCATCAGGGAAGGATGGAGTGTCTGGACGGGCACACACGGGTGTCAATGCGCGTCAGGTCGGAAGGTATGCGTTCCCCTGTAGTTGTCATCATAAGCCAAGAGATATCGGAAGAGAAAACACTGCTGGCCCAAATGTCCAACGATGATATTGAGTTTCGGAAATCGGCTTCACGAATCAATTGGTTCGACGCAGCTTTTCTACGCAGTGAAAACCTACTTACTCAAAGACGCCATTTGCACACAAGCCCAGAATATGAGTTGAAAGGGTGGCAGCGAAATCCTGATAGAAGTAAATAACGGTAAAAAGCATTGGCGAATCAACCACCTGTCCAGCACCTAAAAGCCAAACGGAATGCTGGTACTCGAGGTCTTGAAGCTGTTGGATGTTCGCCCGAGGATGAAAATAAATGGGTACGTCCAGGTCCGTTACCATCTCCCAGAATACGTCGTACTCGGGCTGATCGTAATACAGCAAGTCCTCTGGAGAGACCGATGAGCAGAAAGGTATTAATTGAAGTCATAAATAAGACCATTGTTAGAACCTGACTGTTCTGTGATGGAAAATGAGCTTTCAAGAAGATGGCGTCGGGAAAGTTACGGACGATAGTCATTGATCAACGCGCCTAGGAATCCGAGCTCACGGACAGCTCGTTCTAGCTCGAAGGCTGCCGTAGTTGCATTATGCATTGCAAGAGTCGCGAATCCTCCGAATCGAAATGTGTTGTTCGAAATAGCGGCAGCAAGTTGATCATTGACATTGCGCGCCATAGCCTCCGCCTCAGCTTGATCGGAAATGCCCTGCTCAGCGTGAATGCAGCGCCACTCCATTTACCTGAATGAGGTACCTGCACGCATGGTTGTGCGCAAGAGAGCACCATCTTGAAACATAATCATTTATTGCAAAAGTAGGACAACTTCCGAGCTCACGTACATAGTCAATCCCGGTCTCATCCATTTGAGCTAGCCGCTGGTTGTGAATGTCCAGCAGATTTGCTGCGAGCACAGGACTGCTGCAGGTAGATTTTAAAAGGGTAGCGTCGGCGAATTAATGCTGGAATATACGTTGTTTGGGAAATGAGCTCGGGAATCGTCCAAGCTTCTTCAAAAGCGATTGATCCTTTGCCAGTATCGTTCCATCGCCGCGCAGCGACAGGGCGTAGAGTCGTTGAAATACTGCAGAAAAGAAATAGCAGTGAAAACATGGTCAGTGCCAGGAAGAGAGCAGGAGGCCCTTAAAAGTCCTCTGGTATCAATCGGGGTCCCGTCGGTTCTCCGGCGACCCACCTCGGGTAGGTATACTTGGCACGTTAAGACCAGACCGACCAGTTCATGCACAGATTATTCGGTAGTACTAACTGTATTTAGACTGTTAAAATTAGACAGTGTTCCATTTATGGACCATGGTTGAAGTAGTGCGATACAAGCTCGTTCAGGTTGTACTCGTTGTGAGTCACCGGGAGACCAACTTGAAGGCAGACCTGCTGCAGCGCTTGAAGAGCCATCCTGCAATCGTTAAGCTCAAATCAATCCACGTCCATGGATGTAAATTTAGTGAAGAAGCTGACCAGGTTTCTAATCTAATAAGGCCCGAAAGTGTGGGGATCCAATCCAACACTCAGGCTAGGATATAGTCCGAGAAGGAAGTAACAAAGATCATGGGACGTGGCCGTTACAGCGATGCGGCGCGGCGATACCGCGGGAAGTGCAAATCGGGATGGAGCGGGACGGGACAGCCAAACCTATACGTAAGTGAGGCTCCGGGGCCAGCAATGCGATCTGAAACAACCCGAGGGTAAGCTCGAAAAAAGATGGAAGGGGGCAGAAAAAGTGTGCTTGAGGGCAAGTTGGGTACGGCTTGAACCCCTGGCTTAGATCCGCATCCAAAAAGTTGACGTAAAACGTCGTACCATTGGCTGCTCATATGACCACCGCAGGGATCGAACCTGCAATCTCCTGATTACGTGATACTATACGCAACACTGTAGTCGCCATTTCGCCAGGTAGCCACTTAGTTGAAAGTAGTTCGTGTCCGGTAAGTCAGCGGGTCCGTAACGGAACATCTCGGCTCTGATGGATGAACCCTAGTCCGCCCGCCCGTAGCTACCGTGAGTTGGATGCATTTCGGATCACAGAAATATCCATATAAATGATATAATTACCCGGGCCGGACGGTTGCAGCCATGACTACAAGTCCTGGCTCTTGGCTTGCACTTGGCTTTGTCGAGGCCAAGGCAACTGGATGTGGCTTGCCTTGGCTAAGCCAGGGCATTAACATTCTGGCTTGCTGGCAGAAAGCCAAGCCAAGCACATCACTGATAGCGACCATGGAATTATTTTTTCAAATTCCTTTGAGACCTAAATTCTTTCATGATTACCATCGGGCACTGTCGTTAAATGAGCCAGTCAAGATCTGATGGTCGGCAAGATGGGTCAGCGTGAGAACTTGTGTGGAATAGAAATGGAAGGAAAAAATTGACAGTTAATCACCTTGTCTACAAACCTGGCGTACAAACCTCTTTATCGATGTTGTTGGCAAATTTGTGGACACGAGGTTCTTTTCTATACAAGAGATTGTGGAGCGCATGAGCGCATGCCAAGGGGTTGACGACGCTGGAGGGTTCTGCTCCTCGGAATACGCTCGTACGCTCTGCATAACTGCACAATCCCTTAAAAAAACCCGGTGGCTGTAATTTTCCAACTGTTATAAATAATTGCTTGGTAATTACATGCAGGACCCTATTTTAATTGAGAGTGCCAGGTGGGCCCTGCCGCTCGGCGGCATCAAGTACTCGTCTTATGCCGAAAGATATAGGGCTTCCAATTGGTCCATTGTTTATTGTGTCTCTTCCTGCTGGAGCAGTGAGGTATGTCCAAAAGTATATAACGCTTGGCCGTCAGTTGCCATTCTTGGCATCTCGTCCCAAAAAGAAGAAGATCAAGTGGCCCCAAATCCTCCTCATCGTCTGGGGATGCGTGTCATTCCTAAAGGTCGTCACTGGCTCTAAGGTCCTAGTAATTGCCTTCTGATTGATCAAAGTAGTATGGGCTGTTAGCGCAGTTGGTAGCGCGTTCGCTTCGCATGGCGTGCACTCGTGAAATTTGTCATTTGCGAAAGGGCGCCGGTTCAATTCCGGCACAGTCCACTTCTATGTGATGAGTTGACTTTCTTTTTTCTTGGATGTATGATTTGGACATTTAAACTGCCTAACATTCCAGGAGGATCTTACATTCTTTTTGTTCAAGGAAAAACAGTGACATATTGTTTGTGTCAACAGGGAGTTGGGGCAAGTTGCGGACAGTGCATCGTGATGCCGGGAAGAGGTATTCCGGGGCGGGGGCCGGGTTGCTGTTCTGAAATTAATGCGACTAGAAACACTGATGGAGGCGGGTTAGCAAATACGGGCAGGTCTGGACTCTGCGTGACAAGAACAGGCAAGAACGCACAGAGGACGGTCACGGTGCTTTGCACGCCGGTCCCCCAGGGGACTTTGTAGTACACAACCGGGACGTCGACATCCACCTCCACTAAGTACTAAGTGCAACCCACTGGGGGCACCGTCACCTGGCATCCTTGCAAAGAGAGCTGGGAATATTCAATGCACAGCCAGTGTTCGGTAAGGGGCCGCTCGCCAAACTGGGCACGGAACGGAACGGGCCGCTTTCCGGAAATTGCAGATGTTCTACCAGAGGCTTCAAGTTGGCTTGGCTAAAGCTATGAGGACATACTCGCACAAGCTTCACAGAAATGTGTTTGCAGAATGCGTTTTATTTATTTATTTAAAAAATAAGAAAATGACCACCGCAGGGGTCGAACCTGCAATCTCCTGATTACGTGTTCAAAATTGGCCATAATCGTAGTCAGACGCGATGCCATTTCGCCAGGCGGCCACATTAGAATCTGTCATCAGGTTGGAAACGGAACAGCCTTGGTGGCTTTGCACAATCACGAAAAATGTCGGATCACATCCTGGGATCAGGTACAAACAAGTCCAAGCAAGGACCCTCCAAGCTGCTTCTTCAAGCAAGCGTCTTGCGACCGCATCCCTCTCCTTGCTCGGTTGTTCAAACTTCTGCCTAAGCTCCTGATCAAATACCCTTTTGAGCCAGCAATCCCTCCGGCGATCTCCGAAGCTGACTGCAATCATTTGCGGCAAATTGCGGGCGAGCCTTGCACGCTCAATCCGTGCGTCCGCAGGCTTTCGCTGGCATTGAACAGAGCTTTGGAGTGCAACACAGATCTTTACCTATATATGCTTGTTAGCGAGCTACTCAACTCCATGCTCTGCGGCGTCTTGTACCGCTCCCTCTCGTCACGAGTCTCGTGAGTCTCTACCGTCATCTTTCCTCTGGGTGCACTTTGTTGATGTCCTCACAGGGCGTGAGAAATGTCGGCCTACATCGAGGGCGCATCAATGCGCCTCTTCTTCCGTACTCCCGGCCTCCCTCCTCCCTGCCCTCCTGACGCTGCCCTCCTGACGCCGATCATGCCCAACGTGCACCAGCCCCTCTCCGCATGCGCGCACGCGACCCAAGCGCAACGGCGCTCTCACCTCCGCATGCGCGTCCTTGAGCACCGCGTCCCGTGCCTCCATCGACTTAGCTCGTCATCTATCCTTGCGATCGCACGTGTAGCATGGGCGTGTTTACGTCGCCCTCTGTCCCCGGACGCCGCCCTTCTCCCTGCGCGCTGCGCCACATATTTGCAGGCGCCGACGCAGCGAGTCGACAGAGGCCGGATGTCCCGTACTTGTCTGTATGATTGTTTTCGGCGAGTGACGCCATGTTCCGTACGTGAATCATAGTGCATATAGCCACTTTTCTGACCTTTGATGAAGGGACAACCGTAGTGACAGGTACGTGTCGCCTGTTGCCAGCTAGTCACCGTTTTCAGGAAAAAAAGTCGACGCTGCTGCCGCTTCCGGCGTCGCCAACGCCAACGCCAGCGGTTACACCGCCGTGCCTGGTGGGTCGGGTTAATCTTTGCTTGCGCCGCCACATTCTAACCCCCTGCCTCGCAGCCATCGCCAATGTTTCCTTCTTCTTATGACATGTTCTCCGGTGTGTCCCGCATCATCTCGTTCCTTATCAATTCCACTCCTTTCGGTGAGTCACTTTATTCGACACGGCTGAAATGGTCCTCAAGCTGCATATAATAACGTCGACGACACGTAATCGTACGCGTACGTGCTCCCTCGGCTCATGATCACCGGCGCTGATTTACTGCTATAAACGACGACAGATTCTTCTGCTCCTCAATACCTTCGTACACTGCTTCCCTCGTTCGAGCTCGTAGTGGCTGACCTCTCATTCAATACCGCTCTCATTCCACCCACTCTCGGGTGAGTTTTCCGTTAGCGCTCTTGCTCTTGGCCGATTGTCCTGGCTTCACCGTTATTTAGATCTTCCTCGACACATGTGTATCGCATCATCTGCTCACTTTTGTTGTCCTGTATATCCTCGCTGACTTTGTTGTTATGTATTAAGAACGTAATTGTACATTACTTCACATCACACCCACTGTACTCGTCCCATGAATTAAATTTTAAAAAAATATTCTACACGCCATGTCCACGACCACCGCAGGGTTTGAACCTGCAAGCTTCTGCATACGTCATTTCCCTTTATAGACGCGATGCTATTTCGCCAGGCGGCCATTTGTTTTAAGCAATCATCGGTCTGTAACGGAACATCTCAACGGAACGGTCCATAGCTAAGTACTGTGAAAGCTGAGACCTTGACAGGACGGTTGAAGCCGTGGCTTCAAGTCCTGGCTCTGAGCTTGCGCTCTTGGATTCGTTGAGCCCAAGCCAAAGCCAAAAGTTAAAGGCAAGCAATGCATCACTATTTGCCAACGACAGACCGGGCCGGCGCCGGGCCCAAGCTTGATCAAGCCGGGCCGAGCCCGACACAACAAGCCCGGGCTTATGTATTTATTTTTCCAAGGGTGCTTGCCGTTTCCGTAATTCGAAGCGTGCCGTGTACTTATATCCAATCTTATCCGATTTTTTTATATTTACCTGCGGTAATCGGGCAATCCGTGGCATTGAATTTACAATGTCACATGCAAACAGTCGGCCGCTATCCTTAGCCCGCGACATTGCGGAGGTATTGGCAGTGCTTGAAATGTTTCAATCACTGGGAATATTGTTTCACGAGCCAGTGATGTTCAAGGAGCTATATTCATAGTATAATGTACATCCTTTTTTCTTTCTCTTTTGTTATGCAAAAGCCTGGGCCTAGGCCCGGGCTCAGGGCGGCTCGGGCTCGGGTCTGCAGAGTCTGAAGCCCGAGCCCGCCCAAGCCGAGCCCGGGCCCGAGCTTTCAGGCCGAGCCGGCCCTGACCATCACTACAGGCTCGGAGTCGGACACATCACGAAAAATGTCGCATGCTTGCCAAGGGTTTGGGGCCGAGTAACCCCGACCAAGTGCCTCGCAATCACATGCAATCTTTGATCTCAACCTCAAACTACGCTGGAAGTGTATAAAATTGTTCGCGTCTGCCTTCAAGCTCGAGCAACCATTCCGTCAATCTTCCATTCTGGTTTCCAGCGGACCCAAAAGCTTTGGCAGCACTTTGAGCCCACATCAAACTGCGCTGAAAATGCGTCAAACGGTTTGCGTTTGCCTTCAATTTTGCACAACCTTTCCCTCACCCATCCATCCAAGTTTCCGACAGACACAAACCCTTGGACAGCACTTTGAGCCAACTTGCAACCCTTCGCAGGCGACGTTCCAAGGGCATTCGACGGTGCGTCAACGTTTCGTCTGGCCGTGAAATCTGCCTTAAAAGCTTTTAGCCGCCTTTCAACAGTCATCTAAGCATTACACCAGCAAAGTGTTTGCATCCGTTCCCGCGCAGAGCCTCAGTGAAGCCTTGTGCGGTGTATTCCATTCTCGTCTTTCTAGTGCATCTGTCACAACCTACCTGCGCTATTCAAGTCTGGCTCGTCGGCGCACGTCCTCATGCTCGTTGTTGTGACCAGCTTGGTAATACTGTCTACTTTCCTGCAGCCGGAGTCGACGCCGCGAATCCAGCTATCACTGTTCGCAAAATTCAAGGCCACGACGTTCGTCTGCGTGCCCCTCGCCTGCGCCTGCCAAGAGACTCGGCGAATCCAATGTGCCGGGTGCCTCTCCACCCGCGCACGCAAGCGCCAGCGCCGCGATCTGGTACGCGAGGAGCACCTGTCGCTCTGCGCGGCCTTGCCGGCCGGCGCGCGCGCCATCGCCTGGCTGTCAGTGGGCGCGCTGCGGTCGCAGAGCTCGGCGCCGTGGTGTACGGCTCGATCTCCGCCGCGCTGCCGCTCTCAAAACCCGACGCACGCGCACTTGCCCAGGGGGGGCTAGACGTCGACATCGATGTCCAGCTCCTTCACGCGACACCGCCTCCGGACGCAGAACAGCAGCACGCCGAGCGCGAGCGCGAGGGCAGCGGCAGCCACGAGTGCGATGCCGGCGATGAGCCCTGCGGGGGGCGATGGCGATGGCGATGGCTGCCTATTGCGTGCAATGTATGTAAGTGACAACGGTGTACTTGTATACCTGTATTGACGTTCCTCTTCTAGCAAGTTGAACAATGCGTAAATGCCCCTACGGCCGCGAGAACTTTCGGTAAGCTTTCTTGTTAACAACGAATTTCTGTAAGTATACGAAGTCGTTGTGAGAGAGATAGACTTACAAAAACATAGGAACTCCCTCGTCGACGCCTGCGCGACGTGCACAGTGCGCAGACTCTGCGGGAGATTTACGAGCACGCGGGCGAGCTCCCCACGGATGGCACCGAGCAGCAGCTCGTGCTCGTGCGGCGAAAGCGGCGTGTGCGGACGGCGAAGAGCTGTGCGGAATGCGGCGGCAGAGGTATGCAGGATGGAGGAGCCCGGCAGGTGGGCGACGCCAAGTTGTGATGTGGCAGCGATAGAGTTGCCGCAGCGAGCGAGGTTGCGCGGGGCTGGGGTGCAAGACAGGCCCGTGGTGTGCTAGGCTCAAGGCAGCAGGGTTAACATCATCTACTGTGGGGCAAGCACGTCAGCATTGGTGTCGAGTCATGGTACATACGTAGAACATGAAAGGGTAGCCGAGGCCCCGGGGCACCGAGAAGCATGAGTCAAGCACGAAGAGCATGAGTGGTAGTGGGTGTGGGGGACAGGAGGCCCGCGACAAAAGTTCACGGATGTCCGTGAATTTTTGTCGCGTCCAGTCACAAGTCGACGCGATCCCGTGGCTTTGTTGATGCGCTGAATGTGGCACGTGACACATGAGACTATATATATCAAGCCTGCGCCTCGCGCCTCTTGTTTCCGTACCACCATCACTGTCTTCTCCCCTTCCCTCCACGATGCCGGTCCCCACCACTGTTGACCCTGCTCCAGCCACACAAGCGCCCCCGCCTATCGCTGCAAGCAGGACCTCGACGAGACCTCCGCATCAAGGCTGCGACGGCCCATAACCTCACTCCGCTGTCGAGCGACGACAGGTCACCGCATACGTCTTCAAGCTCTGTGTTGCCCTGACTGTCGTCCAGGTGTAAACCCTTGGATCGTCTTCGTGACGTGGCGTGTTTCTTTTTTTGTGCGTTTACTAAGTCTACATTCTCGCGCATATATCCACCCTCCTCACGTCTATTCTGCTCAGGAACTTGCTTATCGATGCTTATGTACCCTCATCGCCCCCAGCAGTGCGTCGTGCCTTTTCTTCGTCACTGACCGCATTATCCCGGATTTTGGCCGCTAACTAGAGGTCTTTAGATGTGTTTATCTCAGCCATCGCTGACCTCGAAGCCGTTCTTGAACACATTTACGTTCATTACGCCGACAGCGCTTGGGACTTGCTCGTCGAGCAGGTGCGCACTATTCATGTTTCTTTCCCGCACTCGTACTGACGCTACCGAATTAGCTTCTTCCAGGTAAGTATCCGCATTCTCGCGGATATATCTGCATTCCTTATGTGCGCTAGGCCTCGATCCTTCGACGGGTTTGGGTGAGTCGCTGTGGCCCACACTCGATGGGCGTGCTCGTACACATACGGCTTGACTCGACCGTGCCGTTTCCCGCTGTGCGCAAGCCGCTGCTCCTCACGACGAGGCGGCCCCGACGTACCGTCGTTATAATGTATGTGCTTGTCTATGTCACGGGTCACTCACCTAGACAACTACCACTGCTGTAACTATCTGCTGTTCATGCTCGGTATGTTCTCCTGCTGTTCACGCTCGGTATGTTCTCCCTCACTGCCTCTTGCTTTGTTTGACTATCTCCTTCACAGAATCAAATACTGGCACCTGTCACGTTGTATCAGATTTTTTTTTGCATTAACTGTACTCCCATTGCATGGCTTGCACCGCGTCGTCTCTCTTTTGTTTGATACTATGATATGTATGTAGCACAATTGATACATTTGCACCCACTTCGAAATATGTGACAATGTTTTCGAGACCATCCTAAGTGCCTCCCCAACCACGAAAAGGATTTATTCCCAGGTAACGTTTTGCTGCATTGCAAACCCCTTCCAAATCATCCAAACCCTACCAAGCCCACTAAGGGTTCATGACTTTGCAAGCACGTAAAGTCTTTCAAACCTGGCGAAGGGTTCATTGCCTTTGAAACTTCTTGCAAACAATCCAAACCGTACCAAGCTCACAAATGGTTCACGACGTTGCAAGCACACAAAGTCATTCAAACCCCGCGAAGGGTTCACGACAGTGCAAACGCACAAATGGCCTTCAAACCCCACGAATCATTCAGCCAGTTGCTATTGGTTTTCCAAGGGTTGCCCCTGGCCTACGGGGTTTCAACAGGGATTGCCAGGGGTTGGGCGGTTTTCCGGGCCTTTGGTCACTTCCAACTTATTGAGAAGGGGGTGGGATGAATGCGACATTTTTCGTGATGCATCGACTGTAAAAGAGTTTGTACGGTTTGTGAAATGCCAATACCCGGGCTTAATAGCCAAGACTCATGGCTCGCCCATAACTTTGGCTTTGGCTTGGGTTCAGCGAAGCGAAGAGCAGCCAGGACTTAAAGCCATGGCTGCAACCGTCCAGTAAGATGGTCATTTCTGTGATCCGGGAACCATCCAAATCTTCGGGGCTGCATCTGAATCCATCAGCAAGCCACTTACACAATGGACCCAATGACTTGTCAGACAGGGACTGCTCCCTCTGGATGGCCGCCTGGCGAAATGGCATCGCGTCTGACTGCGATGGCTGGATGCATGCATGTGATCAGGAGATTGCAGGTACGACCCCTGCGGTGGTCATGTCATGATATATTGTTGCATGCTTTTTTTATGTAAACGGACCCTGTCGGCATATTGCTGAAGCGTGTGTGAGTACTCTGAAAATATAATTGCAAAGTTGCGTACGAGCCAGGCAAGCCAAGAACATCTGCAATTTCCGGAAAGCGGCCCGGTCCAATTTTTCAGTTCAAAAATTGTTACATAATAAGCTCTATCAGGCAGTCTCTTCCGATTATCAGTGGTACTTCGTTTTGGTAAGATAACATGTTTCTGCAGCCCCAAACCAAAATAACCAGACAACGCCGCCCTTCCCATCGCAAACTCATCATCCAGCCAGTCACGTGATCGCTCCCCGACTAAAACCTAAAGGCCCCACAGACCCTACTACCATCATGCGTTCCCACAACTTAGCGCCGCGGCGCCATTCCTGCTGTCGTCTCCCGCCACCGTCGTCACGCCTCCCCGCCGTCACCGCCTTGCACTGCAGATGCAGACTGTCGTCACAGCAATGCCATCGCCACCAAATCCGGGTGCCCGTCCCGCCATACCTCTGCCTACCTCTGCCTACCTCCGCCCGGCGTCTGTCACGGCTGTCAAGACCACTGTCCGTACTAGTAGTGACTGACCCGCACCTTGCTCCCAAGTTGGTCCCAACCGCCGGGGAGTCCCTGGAGACACAACCACTGGCATTATGTCGCTTTTTTCTTTGATCAAAAAGAACGACAAATATAGAATGTTAGGTTGTTATAATACTTTGTAGGACCAAAAAAAGTCTTCTTTAATGAAAAGGAAGTGGACTGTGCCGGAATTGAACCGGCGACCTTTCGCAGATCAACCCTACACATCTTTAATGCAAAGCGAACGCGCTACCAACTGCGCTAACAGCCCATATAACTGATGTCAGTCAGAAGTCAGCTACTAAGTAAAATCCAGACTGGCCAGTGGCGGTCTTTAGAAGTGACAAGCATCCCCAGATGAGGAGGAGGATTTGGGGACACTTGAGTTAGGTCTCCCGAATTTTACCTGAGTTTTTTACCGGCCAAGAATGGCAACTGACGACCAAGCGCACGCGAGTGTAGCGCATATTGCAGATATATCATTGAGCATTACTGTAACGCGAAATTTGGTTTTTCGCCGCTTAGAAGGAACAGGGGCAGAGTTCTAAGGTGGATTAGACATTCTGGCAAGTTCAGACTGTTGTATTGAAGCGAGAGTGGATCTATATGTGAAGGCGAAGCGAAAAGAGCGCGGTATTTGCTCGTATTATTGGCATCGGATCGGACGGTCCGGAATAGCCTTTTTTGGTAAGATTTTTACATTGGTAATTCAAACTCAGATCGACTGGTCTGTCTATCGACAGGCTTGCCTTCATAGACAGACAGTCACTGGTCTACTCATACGCAATTTTAATTGACAGCGGATGTGCAGTGGACCCGGCGGTTGGCATCTTGCCTGAAGAAAAAAAAAATTGTACTCAAGTTGTACTTCATTTATCTCATTTGTGAATAAAAATAATGGAGTGATGGGACCATTATTTTTACAAAATAAAGATATTCCACAAATGAGATTTAATCTCGTTTGTGGAATAAACATTTTTTTGTTGAATATATACCCACTTGAGTAAGCAAGCTGCCTATGTACTCGTCATCCCGCCTCAACCTGCTCATCATCCCGCCTTCCCCGTCGATCATCCAGCCTTCCGCGCCCATTGTCCTGCCTTGTCCCAACATTGTCCTGCCCCTCTTTCCCGACTGTCGCCTCGCACATGCATCACCTTTGGCGCAGTCCACAATGACAATGACAATCATCCAAGTTCATCATCCCCAGGGCGGACTCTGCACGAACGATTAGCGGCATCCTCCTGGGGATGAAAGTGACGGCAGGTGGAATTTATGTATGTAATACTGGGACTCAAATGGGGTGATCACGTATTTATTTCACAAACGACAATTATATTCGTCCCATCATTTATTAGTAATGAATATATTTATTCACAAACAGGATAATCGGCCCTACTGTGAACTCCCCTAGTAGACTGTCAACTTGAAATTCTCAGGTAGATTCGGGAGACCCACCAATCCTCGTCATCAACTCGGGATGCTTGTCACTTCTAACTATATCGTCAATGGCCAGTCTAAGGATAATTCTATTGAGAAACCCGGTTTCACGCTGAAACGGTAGCTAAGTGTTCAGGGGTGGTCTGATATACTAGAGCCTAGATATCAAATAGGATATAAACCCTATAAAACACCAAGTCTAATATAATACCCTTAATAACCGTGTAGCGTGCCGCTGCGTTACAAGTTCGGGGGTTCGAGGCACAGGAAATGCCCTAATCAAATCCAGATATTGGTTTCTAGCGTCTTGTAGTCCAATCCCGTACCAAGACTTCTCACTGAATCCACAGGAAAAGACTTTAAGTCAAATGCTTGGGTTTAACAAGTTTTTGGTGTCCGAAGACTAGTTGTAGTTTTTGTGTAGAATACCCCGTGGACTCAAAGTCGTTGGTCGTACCCTTGCCGTATCTGTTTAGAGTGTTTTACACTTCTAAAGCTCTAACCGTATTCGTATGGTGCCCAAAGCACAAGATGAACCCGTTTCCGTTAAGACGCCCAAAGCGTAAGATAGTCCCGTTCCGTTCCGTTGAGGCGCCCAAAGCGCAAAGTAAGTCCGTTCCGTTTAAGTTGTCCTTAACACAATCGAGTCCGTATAATAGCCGTTAGGCAAAATACAATTGAAGTCCTTTGAAATACTGTTACACAATAATTCCAATGAAACCTCAGAAACGAGTCCTGGTCTCTAGTATTCGAAAGTACTAGTCTGCAGCGCAAACGCTACACAGATGTATACTTCAAAGATATAGAGGGGGCCGGGGTCGCTTTTTTTTATACCACCAGATACATGCCTGCTTTTATACTAAAAGACCGTCCATATATAGATAAATGTAAAATGTAAAGGGAGTCATAATAGTAATTGTCTGTGCTGCGGCGCAGTTGATGTAGAATTAATCGACGGCGGGCGCAGCCTCTGAAGAATTAATTCCTGCTGCACAGCCGATGTAGAATTTATCGGCTGCATTGCAGCAGAGAATGGAATTTATTGTGGTTGCACAGCCAATGTAGAATTTATTGGCGGCAGTGCAACCAGTGGAATGGAATGCACGTTCCTGGAATGGAGTGTGCATTCTTGATGTAGAATTTATCGCAGGCAACACAGCCGAAGTGGAATTTATCCGCTGCATTGCCTCCTGCAATGAAATGCACATCTTGTGATGGTCTGGGGAAGGTCTAGATGACGTCTAGACCCTCGTGCATAGCCAATGCGCAGCGCGCGCAATTAGCCTAGCCCAGAACGTGCCCAGAACACGTCTGGAATCGTATGGTTACAGCTCCGGGACCAAACACGCAGTGATGCGTACTTAGTTCGTGTGCTGGGAGAGTACCAGGCCCAGGCATTAGTTGACTTCTTCTGGGGATGGCGCTGCGCCGTACTGCACAGGTGTCGCGCATAACTTCGCATGGCCGCGAAGTGTTTAACCCAACTGATTAAATGTCCCACGGTTCGAATCGTAAGCCAGGCTGGCCCACTGCTCAATATCCGGCGCTTCACAGGCGTAACGCCTCCAGCGTGCAACACGACAGTTGTCTAATGGATGATCCTCCTTGTCCTGATAATACATTGGCCGTACCGCTCTGATCTGTGGTTGCGCGGGATCCCGTAGAATCATCATACACCTTCTAGGGTAACGCGCACTGCCGTGAACACTACCGAAGCTCTTGTACTGACTCCGCGGGGTACTATAGGCCCCGTTGGCCACTCTGGACAAGAGTGCCAACCTCAGATGAATATTCCTGCACTTATTGAAAATGCGCGAATTGGGCCGTACAAGTAGATTTCTACCCATGCTCCATTTTGGACCCTATCAACGCGGAACCCTTCCATTTAAGGAAACTTTGCAGAAACCCCGAGAAAATGTTAACCAGAAACCCATTTACGGCACTGACAATCGGCGAGCGGAGTCTCAAGGTTGGATGTGCTCGTTTTCCCTGAGACTGCGACATGAAGGCTTGCACACACAAAATAAGCCTGCCCTCCAACTATTGATGTGCCCAAATGCTGTCTCTAAGGGGTCCCTGTTGTTTTCTCCTTGCAGCCGAGGTACCGAGGCGAGCCGAAATCACGGCAGAGATTTAAGCCTCTGGCAAGCGCAGAATGAGGATGCAGCTGGATGGTTCAGTGTTTGTAGAGCTACCATTTGGCACATAGAGGCTCAAATATTAAACATATATATTTATGCCCACCTAGCTGAGTATGTGATAGCACTGATAGAAATTCTGGCTGGGTGGCCCTGCTAGGACTGATCAAGGCTGAAATGGAGCAAGATGCCGTTTACTCAAGGCTCACCATAAAGCTGTCCAATTATAAATCCTCTCCAAGTGAATCTAACTTTTAAAAGCCTCCCAGAACCGTTTGCCGCAGGAGGCAACACCTCGGCACCACTCGGCAATGAATCCGGCATCTAGTGGGTTTCTCGGAACCCGGGTTTCTAAATAAGGTTGCTGGGAACCGGGTTTCTGAATAGAATTATCCCCAGTCTAAGGTTCTACTACATATTTGACTTTTGATTGAACAAGATTGTCTGGGCTGTTGGCGCAGTTCAAGTTGGTAGCACGTTCCTGTGGTAATCTGAGTACTGATGTGTAATCTGCGAAAGATGGCCGGTTCAATTCCGGCACAGTCCATTCTTTTAGCTTGCGTGCTGTATGTTTTGGACTCTCAAAGAGCCCAACATTCTTTGTATTTTGTATGAAATGTTCGTTCTTTTGTCCAAAGAAAGAAAATATTGACATATTGATGTCTGAGTTCCGCGGAGGTGGGACTCTGTTGGAGTGAGGTACGTGTAACGGCGCTACGGACAGTGGTGGCTACTGTGACAGGTGCGAACGGAGGTATGGCGGGATGGACGGCCGGCGGGGGCTGCGGTACCGGTAGCGATGGCATGACTGGCGGGATGAGGATTTGACGCGGTGGGTGGAGTGGCGGCGGGTGCTGGAATGGATGCGGTTGGCGCTTCGCGGACATGGACGTGCACGGACTCCACACAGGCCCACAGCTTGTGCGGAGTGTGGCGCCCACGTCATTCGTTCCATTCATTCAAGGCTCATCTCTTTTTTTATTGGGGAGCTTGCTCCCCATTATCCATGTGGGTAGCTAAAACACTAGTGGCTGTGTTTTCACGTTGATGGCTTGTCAAACGTGATTCACACGGACCAAATAAGGTAAATTTGATGCACAGACCGAAAATGGGAACTTTTGATGCGTGAAACGGCAACGTGTTACGTGATAACGTGAATGCGTGGACATCGGACCTCGGGACAGCTCTGGTTCCGAGCCGGTTGTCCATGCAGACATCACTTGTGCATCACATGCACTTCCCTCCAATATTACCAGTTCGAAATCCCCAGTCAAAACACAGAAACTCCGGATTCAAAAATATAACATGGCATACATATGTTTACGCCTAGCATGAAATCAATTTTTTGTAATTATTTTGGACAATCTAATAATATCTGCATCTGGATTATGTCTGTAAGATGATTGGACAAGTACTCAATTCTTTTTTGACTCTGAGTAACAAAGAAATAAGAACACAGATGGCAAGAAAAATTAAATGGCACCAACAGACACATAATGTGTGCATTAGATAATACACACATAACACACACTACAGCTACACAACAAGGCAGACAACAGCTGGCCCTAATAGTTAAGAACATCAGAGGAGACTCTCTTAGGGATATCACGTGACATGCGGGGGGGGGGGGAGAACAGCTTTCTCCCACCTGTGGCGTCGTGTCAAAGCATCTCAGTGTTGTGCGTTGGGCATGCGCAGCACCTGCAAAAGGATCTCGGATTGTAGCACTCAAGTGTAACTGAAACGAGGTAAATGAAACTAGTTTGCCTTTACTTTGGATACATAATATATATGGGATGGACTTGTATGAATTTGAATTTCTTGATTAAATAAAGTACAATGCAATTTTTCAGTAGGCCGTGAACAATTTCTTTGGATTTAGCAAGCTCCCCATTTAGTAGGACCGGGAACGGTCATACAAAACATATTTTATTATTACAAACATGCGCGATGTCTAAACACTGCTTTTAAAAACACCCAATGCATTCCAATTTGAAGCATTTTTTTCTCATATAAAACGCAAGTAAAATTGTAAGTAAAAATTTGTGACTTGCGTTTTATATGAGAGTTGCGTAAGGACGTAGGATCATCAAAAGGGTGGCCATGTCATGTGGGGAGCGGGACGCACTGAGAGAACGTGCGGGACACGTCCCAGGGCGGGACAGCAGCGGGAGGCGGAAACTTCCGATATAACGATGACCGGACGCGGGAGCGACCCGGCGGTGAGGGTCGCCGACACCGGCGGTGATTTCACGGTGCACAGCCGCGCGTCGGGCTGGCCGTGCAAAATGGAAGGTGCCTCAACTAGGCCGCTTTACCGTTACGTTACGGCGGTAAAGCAGGCGTCGCGGAAATGGTACTTTTAACTGGTATGGGGCTGCAGAAACATGTTGACTCCGCCGTTTCTCAACACAATCAACACAAGATCTCAGTTTCGTCCCGGGAGAAGAAAATCAGGGACCGGAAAAGTTTAAAATTCATTCCACGGTCAAAGCGCACGTGCTAGTGAGGCTCGCTCTGGTATCCCCCGGTCAGCTATACATTTCTCTGGATGAAAGATGTCTGGGGTCATATATATTTGGCTCTTTTTGGTGTTCACCGAGTCGCACATGAAGGCGCAAGTCGACTATCAATCATACATAGGAATAGTCATCACACATGGATTCGTGCTACGAGAAAACTTGCGTTTCGACGCTGCCAGTGATCATGAGCGAGAACACCCACGCACGACCAACACCGCGTCCCCCTATATACGCGCGATCAGATCGTCTGTTTGGTTCGATCGGTGCTTGCTGCGGGTTCGATTGCTGTTGGAGCGAGCGGTGTCAGAACACCGATGACATATCCATGACATAAGCATGGTGAATGTGTCGGAGCAGTTTGGAAATCCAATGCATTCATCGCACACGGGGCGCTACGTCGCCGCAGTGTTGCGTCGCTTTGCCATGGCATGGGCCTCAGAACATCATGATACTTCGCCTCCATCATAGGTTTCAGACCATATGAAAACCACGCCATTTTCTTGCAAAATGCTCTCCAATACTCACTGAAATGTGCATTTAATGGAGGTCCTGCATGTCAATCACATCTTCCGCGAGGACGTCGATGCTAGGGTGCAGTTTTTGGTACTGGTTTGTAAACCGGTTTATAAACCGGTGTTTATAAACAGTGTTTTTGGGACTTCGAGGCAAACGGACCTGTTTGTAAACCAGGATGAGGCACGTGATGCCTTCAGGCCGAGACGGCGAATGGCATTATGGCACTACCGGAGTTTCAAGAGGTTTCAAGCCACCCAGACCTCCGTGTTTTACTAATTTATAAGGCCGCTGAGCAGCTCACGCGGCCACGTAGGGCCACGTCCCACTCGTCTATCATGTCATCAATATTGACAACAGTGACAGCGAGTCGGATGCTGCCATCGCCGATACCGACACTAGTGCGAGGGCCGAAAGCGGATATTGTCGATGCCGACGAGGTTGCAGTCAGCCTTACTGCCCTTCAAGAGTCTCTCGAACCTGCGGATCCAGCGCCGCGCAGCTTCCCATCTCGCTTATTCAACATGGGGATGTCGGGTCACTCGGGTGTGGACTTACTTCTGTGATTTGCTCAGCGACACTCCGATTGAATGCAGAGCAGTTACAAGGCTTTGGGAGCCGTCAGACTGTGCAGGAAGGGACAAGAAAGGCGTGGAGAATGCGAAATTTGGCTTCCGGACTCAAAAAAAACCATTTTTAGCACTTTTAAATAAAAACATGTTTATAAACCGGTTTTTGGGTCTCGAAAAAATGTAAACAGTTTTTGGGTCCCAAAATCTATATAAACTGCACCCTAGTCGATGCTGTTGTAAACCAAAATTAGGGGACCGGCGCTTGCGCCGTTACTGATACTGTAGTCACCCTCTTTTTAAAATTACGGTGTCCGAAGCCTTTTCAATGTCCGCTCCGGCAAATTCCCTATCATCTAACCTTTTTCGGTCATTTATCTCAAGCCGTTGGTGCTCGACAAGTCCCGATCATCTTGTAACCTTTTTCGTTCCGATCAATCATTTAACCTCTTTTGTTCATCTCCTGCTTCGCTCTCAAGCCGTTGGTGCCGAAACTTCCACTCTTGGCTCGACATCAACTTCTGGAACTGAGCTCGCTTCTTTCAAATGGGGTACCACTTTTGGCTGCCAAGTTCTAAATGTTGAAAAGTTGGGCCTCAATCTACGAAGAGAAATATTTTCACATGGCCAGCTTTACTCGGCAATGACCCGCGTTCCCGATTCCGAGAGTTTTAATTCTGAAGTACGCAGATAATTTTTCCACCTGTACCACGAATATGGTTTGTAACGACCTCCTTTTATAATACACTTCCGTCTAAATGCATTATCAATTTCAACTAAGGGCATGATGGCCCAGCGTCAGGCGCTTATTATTTGAACTTGATCAATGAACCTGGATATCAAACTCACAAAAGAGGTTGGGAGGCCGCGAAGCGGCCGACCAGCCGCTTGTATTTCAATCAATTCGGACGGTCACGGGTCACAGGCCCAAAAATTTCCGAAAAATTTCGGACGTCACAGGGTCACAGAGGGTCCGTCCGAAAGGGTCCCCTGGAGCCGCATTTTTTAGCTGGAGCGGCCCTGCGGGGCCGGGTACGCGGTGTACGAAAATTTTCGGATGTCACACTGTCACCGAGGGATCGTCCGAATGGGTACATTAGGGCCCCTGAGAACACTGCGAGAGGTAGGATTCTAAAATGATGGTTTTTACTTTTTTGTCCGGATTGGACGTCTTGGGCATAGCCGAAATTTTGTCCGGACTGGAATCAGACATCCAAATTTTTCCAAATTTTTGTCCGGACTGAGCCTCAAACCCACAAAAAATCGCGAAAAAATCATGAAAAAATCCTAAAAAAAACTGCACAAGTCCCTACTCATCCACACCATTGTCCTCCTCGATGTTGAGGAGATCCTCATTTTCCCTACCCTTCTTTACCGCATTTAAGTGGTAACCATCAGAATCAAGCCCGGAAGCTCGTCTTCTTGCAAAGAATCCTGCAGGTGATAGCATCTCGGAAGGTAGCGTTGGCTGCACTTCAGGTGGTATGCAACAGATAGCTTCAAGAACAATATAATCTGGGACATTGCGGTACGTTAGGTTGCAACCTATCCACTCCGATGCATTCCACGAAGGATTACATTTCTGTAGGTCGTCCAATACTCTGCCATGGCGTAGGAGTACGGTAGAGTCCGGTAGCAAGTGAGGGCTGTTGGTCTGGCCACACAATATAATTATATTGTCCAAAGCACAGCGGGTTTTTGAGTGACATACTATATGTGTGGGCCACACATCTCTGCAAAGCGTCATTACGCCAGGTCCTTGTCAGGCCCTGTCGGACCTTGTCCGGACTGAGAATCCGAGCCTCTGTGCTCCAAATTTTTTGTCCGGACTGAGAATTTGAGTGGCGAGGCTCGATTTTGTCTGGATCAGAATCAAAGCTTTTGCAATTTTTTTCAAAATTTGTCCGGATTGCGGTATCATACCACCTGGTGTATTCTCAGGGGCCCTGGTACATTCGGACATGCGTGTCACACCTCAAACCCCTGTCCGAATTGATTAATATACTACAGTACTTGGGGGTAAAGGCCGCAGCTTCGCTCGGCAGTCACTCATGCTTATGCCTGCTTATTTAGAGTATCTAAACTAGTCAGCTTGTGACCTTTTATCCCCCTTTTTTTCCTTTCATGTGTTGATCGTAGTCAAACCCGATGTCGTTCCGCCAGAGGAGGTACATCAGGTAAGTTACTAATTTATGGTCGGTTAGAATTACTTACGCCATTTGAAAAGATCACGTTAATTTTGACTAACACAAAAGATCCAACTGGAGAATTCACTTAAGTCAAAAAATGCAAGGGTAACAATACGACTAAGCCCATTGTGGGCGGCAAAATTTTATTCAGTGCAAGAAAAAGTCGAACTATCTACCTTACAAACGATGGAGGAAATATCGTCCAGCGCAAGCGAGTCAGCATGCAAAAAACAAAATAAAACAATAAATATTCAAAGGCCCGAGCCTGACTCTGTCAACGTTTCATTAGTCTGGATAAGACTGACAAATGGGATACATTACCTAGAACCCATAGGTGATGCGCTAATCGGTGCCGTCGAAGTTATTCTTGAGATGCACGTCTTAGACGTAGACAATGATTCGATGCAGGACCGAATTGACGTATGGCCGGAGGGCGAGAATATTATAGTCTCGGACCGCATGGTTGCCGTGTGCTTTGACTTACCAAGGAAATTCCTGCTAAACCCAGACTTCGATTTAATAGGCTGGTACGGACAGGCACTGTTGGACTCAAAATTGGAATCGGAATCTTACGATCTTCTCAATACTTCAGTCACCGAGTCTGAAGTTAAGTTATCGAAATCTGACCTTGAAACAGATGAAGAGGACTTCGCTTCAATGCCCTTGTTGCAAATGAATAGTGCCTCGACTTACAGTGAGTCGGGAAGCTCCATCGTGGAGTTCTCTTTGATGCTGTCGATGCGCACAGTCAGCGACACTGAGTCAGACGATTTTCGGTTGCCAACAAAATCGGTTGAGAATTGAACTCGGAATGGCAGCGGGGAGATTTAGCACAGCTTCATTACATAAGATAAAAATCTATTGTTCTCGACAAAATCAAGGCTAACGATATAAAATTTTTGTACTGGAAGATAGCCGTTCACTCTAGCTCTTGATCGAGCTAGGTTTCATCAAAATTGGTTGAGATTCGAGGCCGCAAACGCAGCGGGGAGATTTAGCACAGCAAGGTTATGTAAAAAATTTGAGGCTGTGCAAAGAAGCCTACAAACTTTTGAAGCAAAGTCATTAGATCCCTTAACCCTAACCTGATGTAAATCGGTAGAACGTTGATTTGTACTGACTTTTTGCGCCGAGGTCGCGAGATCCCTCGTTCCGTATGATGAAATAGACGAATTCTTATTTCATAAGCATTCGTAATAGACGAATTCTTATTTCATAAGCATTCGTAATGTTTGAAGTCCGCTTTTTTTTATTTAAAAAAAAAACGCAACTATTTGCCTACTTATGACCACCGCAGGGTTCGAACCTGCAATCTCCTCATTACATCATGTGCCTTTATTAACCGTGCCAGACACAATGCCCCGTCGCCAGGCGGCCCTTTTGAAAATACTGTGAAGATGTTCATGTCAAACAGCTCTGTGATATTCAAGTCTCGCTTATTCGTCAAATGCTCAACCTCCATGGCCGATTTATGCTTATCCTGCTCTACACCGTCAACGGGTCTGGGAGTGGATTCCAGACGGGTAGCTAGCCGGTAACCACCAAATGCGCCACCTGGAGTTGGGCTGTGTTGCACCCGGCCTCCGGCTGGGTCGTTCAGCTGGACATGCCAGCTGGTGACCAGCGGGTACCCACTCGTTAGCCAGATTTTTGCTCCAGCTGTCTAGCCAATGTAATGCAATTCAAGTTAGATCTGCCATCCGAATGCTAAGTTACACAGCGGTCGAAAACTGTGTCGGCGGCGCGGGCCATGCTCACGCGCACTTGGCTTTCGGGTGGCTGGTTGTTGGTGGTTCGGCTTCGTGCGCGGCGCCGGCTGTGCGAGCACGGATCATCAATTGATGAAACCTAGTTGCGATGGTCCATGCGCACCTATAACTAAACAGCCGTCCCGTGATGGTAGATGTCGCTTTTCTCTCTTTCCCCCCACTCTTTCCAGTCACTTCCCACCGGTGTTTCCTCACCCCAAGTCCCTTCCCGTCCCTTGTGCCTTGGAGTCCTGGCCTTTCTCAAGCTTCCCTTGCCGTGTCATCCTGTGCCCACGACAACGCAAGCCTCCAAAACATCCCTGGTTCAAGCATACCGCATGAAGCGCTCACAACCTCAAGTCTCATCATGTCAAGCAGCTCAAGCTCAAGTCAAGCTCTGGACCTGTCCGCTCCTTCAAGCGCTTGCAAGACCTTCGCCAAATCGAAGCATTCTGCCTTTGTTCTCGCCTTCTTCATGTCCAGTCTTCCATGATGGATCCCTCCCTCCTCCTTCTGGGCTCCTCCATTTGCACTGCCACACTGCCCGTTGCGCCCAGCACGGCGCCGCATTGTCGACACCTTCACGTTCTCTACCTCATGTACTTAATAGAGCATCAAAATATATAATATTATATCATTTATTTTTCTGCCTGAGAGCCCGATGAGATTTGGTATGTCGTCAAGCCAGCAAAACAGCTGTTACCCAGCTGTCCACCCAGCTGGCTGCCACATCAGCTGGAATTGGACTCGGGCCATTCGCTCCGACAACTGGGAACGGGCTGATAGGCGGCTGATATCCGGCTGTTCCATGGATCTGGCCAGATGGCCGGCTCCAGCTGCCGGCCAGCTGCGTTCCCGTTGGCGGTGTACACAGAAACGGGCATTATACCTCTCAGAGTTTGATGCATTTCGGACGATTGAAGCCATAACTTCAAGTCCTGGCTCTGAGCTCGCGCTCTTGGCTTCGTTGAGCCCAAGCCAAAGCCAAAATATGGTATGGATCTGGCTTGCCTTGGCTTGATTCACTGGGATTTTTTTTTCACGAGGCAGTGATGTTCAAGAAGCTATAATTTACAATCGTGCTTTTTTCTTTCTTTCTTTTGCTATGCAAAAAGCCTGGGCCTACTAGTAGGCCCGGGCTCAGGGCTCGGGCTCGGGCCTGGAGAATCTGACGCCCAAGCGGAGCCCGAGCCGGGCCCTGAACTTCATTACGTAAAAAGGTTTGTACACCAGGTTCCAGTGCCCAAGGCAAGCCAGATCCATGCGCCGATAACTTGGGCTTGGGCTTGGGCTCAGCGAAGGCAAGAGCCAAAACGTGAAGCTAGGACTTGAAGCCACCGTCCGGTAACTTGAATATGGAGATTTCTGTAGCCAAGTCTCAGCTCACGCCATCAGCAAGCCACCGAGATGTTCCGCAACGGACCCAATGACTTGTCAGATAGTGATTGCTTGTTTTATATGGCCGCCTGGCGAAATGGCATCGCGTCTGACTACGATAATGAAAAATGCGTGCGTGTAATCAGGAGATTGCAGGTTCGACCCCTGCGGTGGTCATGAGGTATGTCTGGAAGCCTTTTTTTTTTTGTTTTCAAACGGACTCCCTTGGGCTACTTATATGTGTTCAAACATATTTCTGAAGTGTGTATGAGTACTCTATATAATTACAAAGTTGCGTACAAGCCAGGGCAAGCCAAGAACATCTGCAATTTCCGGAAAGCGGCCCAGTCCGATTTTTCAGAAAATTTGTTAATAAGCTCTACCGGGCAGTCTCTTCCGACGATCAGTGGACACATACATTTTCAACGGTTTTTACTTCGTTCAGGTAAGCTAACAAGTTTCTGCAGCCCCAAACCAAAATAACTTGAATCTTGCTTGAATCAGTACCATATCCGCGAAGGCCGCTGTTTCCCGAGGCACATTCCGTTTTACACGGCCAGCCCGGCCCGCGGCCCGGCAGCGTAAAATCGCCGCCGACCCTCACCGCCGCCCGATCGGTGCCGGCGTCACGACCACTCCGGTCATCGTCGTTTGAACTCGTTTCGGAGATTTCCGACCGGTACCGGCGTGTCACGCCTGCTCTGCCAGTACGTCCCGCCCTGCTGTCATCGTACCCTCTTGAAGGACCTATGTCCTTACGCAAGTCGCATTATCCCAGGCAAAATGCCAAAGCAGCGGACTCGGATGCGAGGAGCAAAGCTTCCTGTGCTGGCTATAAATAGAAGATATCAAGTTGAAAAAGCAATTGGAATGCATTGCGCATTTTTACAAAAACGCGTTTGTATCAAGAAAAAGAGATGCAACTGGACTCTGAAAGAATAGAACCAATGACCTGGGCGCTGCCGAGAGCGACCATTCCGCACAGGCTGTGGGCCTGTGCGGACTCGTGGCCACCATGATGCATGACGAGCGGAGCGAGACTGTGACGTCCATGTCCACGAAGCGCCGACCGACTACATCCATTCCAGGTATCAGCGCTATATCAGCACCCCGCCGCCACTCTCCACCGCCACGTCAGACGCCCCATCGCCTTCCCATCGCCATCGCAACTCATCATCCCGCCAGTCACGTGATCGATCTCGACTAAAAGCCCTAAGGGCCCCACAGACCTACATGCGCTCCCACAAAGCGCCGCGGCGTCATTCCTGCTGTCATCTCCCGCGTGGCACCGTCGTCACACCTGCCCGCTGTCACCGCCTCGCACTGCAGATGCAGACTGTCGTCACAGCAGAGAACATTGTCAAAACAACCGTCGACCACAAGTCGACCAATGCCATCGCCACCAAATCCGGGTGCCCGTCCCGCCATACCTCCGCCAGGCGTCACCCGCGCCTGTCACCGAAGTCACGACCGCTGTCTGTAGTGACTACGACCCGCACCTTGCTCCCAAGTTGGAGTTCCAAGTCCCGGGGAGTTCCGGGATTGTTCCGGGAGATACAACCAATATTTTTTCCTTCGATGAAAATGAACGAAGAATTTGATAGGATGTTAGGCCTTTTGAGGATCAAAAAAAAATATTACAAAGAAAAGGGAGTGGACTGTGCTGGAATTGAACCGCGCATATTGGAGTGCATTTAATTATATCTCTCACATAACCTCCCGCAGTAATCAACAATGGCTTCCTGCAGTATATAAGCCATCTGGGTCAGGGGAGGCTAGAAACAGACAATTCTTTGTTGACAAACCATTTTTAACATGTCAGCGTCAACAGATGTGGCCCCCACTGCCCAATTCTGCATGCACAGGATATTATGCATACCTCCTGCCAGTGCTTGGCTGCATCAGTGCACTGATGGTGCCGACGGTGTGCACTGTGGCTCGTCGTTCGGGTCGGGCCGCGAGCAGGACGCGGAGAGCGTTGACTATGGAGAAAGACGCAGAGCCGGGGGCACAGCGTTAGGAAGTGTCCGAGTCAATGGTCGAATGATGACGAGCCTCGTGTGCCTCTGAGCCGTTTTTTGGCCTTTTGTCTAATGATTGCCCATACCAGGGAATACCAGTCCCTTTGCTAATTACCACCGAGAGGGATAGATGCACAAGAAACGTACTCGTTCAAGTTTTCGGGGCCGCGGCTACCCATTCGTGGATCTCGGATGCCAGCCACCTCCCGTCGGTCCGAATTTGACGCGGATTGCTCTGTCCTCCGCTGGTGCAGCACATGAGACAGACGCAGGCAATTGGAGCGACTGCTTAGGATCAGCCGGCGCAGCTGAGGTGGTGCCAGCTTGAGTACTGAAGTGTCGACGGTTCAACGCCAGATCAACGAGGCTTCTTTCGGCGCTAAGCAGGGTCAAAAGTCTTTTCCCAAAGCTTTCTGTCTTTGGTCATTTATTTCCTGAACGATCACGCCAAGCGACGCAACCATGTTAGGAATGTTGGGGACAACCGCCATTTGCTATGGAGCACTAGGGATAATGATGTTCCCACGCCAGGACATGTCAATCGTGCAATTTCTGCATCTTCGAATACTGGATTGGACCCCACGGTTCTTCTATCGATGTGATTTCTGAAACGCCACTTCCTCCGGGCGATTATGGCCTTTACTATGCTCGTAACACCAGGCATTATTATGAACGTCTTGGTTCTTACATTCCTATGGGGGGGGGTGCACCTACGGAGGACTTCGGGACATGGTAGCGCGTTCGCTTCGCACGGCGGCGAAAGAGTTACGTATAATGTGCGAGAGGTTGTCGGTTCAATTCCGGCACAGTCCACTTCATTTTTTGCTGTTTCTCTTTGGACCCTAAAAGAGCCTAACCTTCTGTGAGAGGGATTTTCCGTTCTTTATGTTCAAAGACAAAAGGTGACATATTGGCCCCATCAAGAAAACCCGGACCCGGTAATTGGCGCCAATTGGTGACAATTGGTGAGATTGTGGGATTATCACCAACTGTTCAATAACCTCAGCGTCTGGGATCGCATCCCAATTGGCAACGATTGCGGACCATTCCTCCGCGGAGTTGGGAGCAAGGTGCGGGTGACATCGCTACGGACAGTGGTCGCGACTGCTGACGGGCGACCGGCGGGTGGCTGTGGTAGCGATGGCATGGGTCGTACCTGTTGTGACGGCAGTCTGCAGTGCGAAATGGTGGTGGTGACGGCGAGCGTGCGGACGGTAATGGGAGATGACAGGAGGAATGGCGGGCGCTTCGCGGGAAGTGGATGCGACTCGGAAGGGCGGGCCGCCCGGCGCTTCGCGGACATGGACGTGCACGGCGTACAGCCTCGCTCCGCCCATCATGGCGGGCAATGGTGACGCTCCACACGGGCCCACAGCCTGTCCGCTCCTGGCCGCGCCCAGGTCATTTCCAGAGTCCATTTGAAAAAAAAATTTACAAACGTGCACGATGTTCAAATACAAATACTGATGGGACGCGGTGGGCAGCGTGGCGATGGCGGCAGGCGGTGGGACACACTGGCAGAGCGGGCGTGACACGTGCCGAGACGGAACATCGGCGGGAGGGCGGCGGCAGTGGCAACGACCCGGCGTGGGTCGCCGACTCTGCCGGTGACTTTACGGTGCCGGGCCGCGCGCGGAGCTGGCCGTGCGTTTCTCGCCGACTAGGCCGCTTTACCGTTAAGACCTTCGCGAAGATGGTACTGATTCGATTTATTTATGTTTGGGGCTGCAGAAACGTGTCACTTCACTGTACATGTATCTCACCAAAACGAAGTTGTGTCCACAGTTCTCTTCTAGAGTTTATCATTAATTTTTGAACTGAAAAAATCGGGTAGGGGCCGAATATTATCTTACACAGTGATAGATTATATTATGGATATGTTATGATACGGCGTCCAGCACGATACTGGTTCGGTTACTGTCAATGGCCTTTGAATATGCTGCAATATATACAAGCTCTTGGACTCAAGTAAGTATTATTTTGCGCTCTTGAACAGTTCAACTCAACGATACGGTCTTAATCTTTGAGTTAAGCGTAAATTTAGTCAAAAAACTGATCAGAGGTTGGGTGCCGGATGACAAGAACAGTTGACTGTTGGTGTGAACGTTGAACGTTGAACATTGACAGTTGTTGGGAAGTGGCGGCGCAGATCAGAAATTAAACGCGATCGCGAGATATAAGATGTCAACACGCATCTTCGGGCCGAAATGCCTGAGTTGATTCAAAAACAACTTCAAAACTAATTAGGGCAGTGTGACCGCGACAGTCATTGTTTCGAGAGGCGCCGATATGCTTTATAACATGATTTCTGTAGTCAACGATCATCCAAGTGCAGTACATTCACAGCCAGCCCTCTCTTCAACGCGACAAGATCCTTGGCCTCCATAGTTTTCTCCAAGCTTTTCAGCCAGTCTTGGCCAGTTTGCATAGCTACAAAGGGGTAATCCACCTGTGTCGAAAATATGTAAGACGCTCGACGTCCAGCAAAAGAAAAACACGGACCGAGTACATGATGCGAGATAGGCCAATCTGGTTGCCATGCAATTCCACCAGCTCTGTTGCGAAATTCCCAGAAGTCGTTTCGAGTAGATTAGTTTTCCAATATGAGGAGGCGTTCCTGAGCATTGGCATTCCCAGCGGGAGTTGCCGCGCTAATTCTAGTTAAAGGTCAAAGGCATCAGGGAAGGATGGAGTGTCTGGACGGGCATGCACGGGTGTCAATGCACGTCAGGTCGAAAGGTATGCGTTCCCCTGTAGTTGTCATCATAAGCCAAGAGATATCGGAAGAGAAAACACTGCTGGCCCAAATGTCCAACGATGATATTGAGTTTCGGAAATCGGCTTCACGAATCAATTGGTTCAACGCAGCTTTTTTACGCAGTGAAAACCTACTTACTCAAAGACGCCATTTGCACACAAGCCCAGAATATGAGTTGAAAGGGTGGCAGCGAACTCCTGATAGAAGTAAATAACGGCAAAAGGCATTGGCGAATCAACCACCTGTCCAGCACCTAACAACCAAACGGAATGCTGGTACTCGAGGTCTTGAAGCTGTTGGATGTTCGCCGAGGATGAAAATAAATGGGTACGTCCAGGTTCGTTACCATCTCCCAGAAGACGTCGTACTCGGGCTGATCGTAATACAGCAAGTCCTCT